ACGCAACAGAATTTTAGCAAATAGAACGTCAGTTTTATTACCAAATTGACCTTTTTCATTGATAATGAAAATACATTCTGTTGCTGAGTCCAAGAACTGACGGATACTGCCTTCATCATTGTTCCTCAGCAGTTCCATGTTCACTAGCTGGTTAACAGCGTTTCCAAATATTTTGCGCTTTTTTCATAGCGCTTGCATATAAGTTCCCACGCTGAATTGTAGCTAGCAGACGAACCAATTAATAAATGGCCTACGGCCATTTTGTTTTCTCCTTTGAGGCATAATTTCAGGTAGTTCAGCTTCCTTGTGGTGCTGATATCTTTCCCCTAGTGAGTCACCTCGCAGAATAGTTCGAAGAACGCTGACCACTCTTTAGGACTTTCATTAAAGCGAGGAAGATCCACTTTCGGTAGCTCTGTAACGTCTTCTTTTATATTTTGCAAGTCACCTACTCCTAGTCACTTAGTTTTCTTGTGAGTATGGTGACATTGCATTCCAGCTCGTCGATCTCATCAAAGTCAGAGAGCGTTGTCCGTGAGCGTTGAGTGAACTTTGTTCCACAGGAAAATCTACCTATCTTTATAGTTAAGGATTTATCCCTGGCTACTGAGCTCCATATTGGCATACACTTCTTGCATGTGTTGCCTTACTTTTAGAGCTCGTTTGTACACAAGGTCTACCATCACATCCATTGGGCTCGAGCTTCTTCGGGAAACTATTATTTCCTGCTGCCTGTGCTGTGTCTTGGATGTCTCTGGTTGGGTGGATACTGTTTGGTCGGTGTCTATGGCGTGGTCGGCAACTTGGACTTTCATCAGAGACTCGTCGTAGTTCCTGATGTTTTCCATTATGTCATCATATATTTTCTCCTTAAAATATTGATGGTCGACGACACCGATTTTGATCAGCGTTAGATGATTGGCAGTAAACTCATCCTTGTTTGTGATGCTCTGCCGGATCTTGTCATAGATCTCTGATTGCTTTTTGAGCAACTCAAGAGTTTTTGCCGACAGCATGTTGCTTGTGTTGTTTCGTGTGAAAATTTGTTCTTGATTAGTCTTTGGTTTGACCCGTTGGAGGTAATTTTGTTTGATCGCCTGGTTGATCGTGCTGTGCCTCTACTCACAGCTCGAATTGGTAAGCCAAAGAAAATTATTTAAACAATTTTTCACTTCACTTTTACACTTATCACGAACGTAGCCTTGTAGATTGTACTCGAAGGACCAAAATGTGAATACACAAAATGTGAACGCCATTGTGGTGGCGTTAAGTTATGTTATGATCTTTTTTCGTTTGAGCTACAGTTCTTATACCCGTACTCAAGTGTATTTTATCCTTTAAATCTAACTTATCTATGCTGAAAGTGTAAAGCTGGTATGTCTAATTTTAGATACTAAGCATGTAATTTGATATATTCTTATTGCACTCCCTGCAAGTGGTTGAGTGCGTAGACGACATGCGTAGAATTCTTGAATATGTTGTATGTTCATACCTGAACAGTTAGTGTTCAAGCATGAGCATGTGATTGCCGCCTATCTCCTGGACTGCGAGGAGTCTAGGGGTATAATTCCCTATCCTCAAATTACATGCTGTGGGGAACCAGTGGTAAGATATTCAAAGAAAGAAATGGAGAAATTTAAAGGAATGTTTGAAGTACCATAAAAGTCTGCGACGCTCATTAACCTATAAAGAGGCATATCGGTAGCCAATAAATAGACTGTGACGAGCAAAGTTCTCCAAAAAGCTACAGCGGCAGGAACACAAAGTCTCCAATGATCAACGGCGTACAAATAGGTTGCAATAGCAAAACATAAAATATACTATGTTGATGTATCTCGCCCGTCGGGAACCAGTTTAACCAACAACACGTGGACGGCTCTGCGTCAGATAAGAAAAGATCAGATGGACGATCTGCTCTGGAATGGCCCGGCTTAAAATACTTCAGGAAAAAGGATTCCTTTTTATGAATAAAACAAGTAAGAAAGTTCTAGTCAAGGTGCTCGATTAGGAAATTGTCGAAACGTTTTGTTTGATAACTTCTGTTTTAGCTTGTGATCTACGTATTCGATTAAAATAATAGTCAGCTGAGTAAAAATGCAAGCTCACATATTGGCCTTATTTCCAACTGTACTTAAATTTAAAGAATTTGGAGAAAATTGGAACGGGTATCCAAAATATAACAAAAATCAAATTTGTAAAGAATTTACATAAAACTAAATACAAAATTTGCAGGCTCTAGCTCTTAAACTTTAATCGTTAAGTACGAGATATATTTTAATAACAGCATTTCCATCATGTTTTTAATCTATAACATTAAAGCGGGAACAGCTATCGAAACTAAGAAAGATTGATATACATTGATGTGGGATCTTAGAAATTGACGATAAAGAATTCGTTGAGCTAAAGATTCGAGCATTAGAAGTTTAACAATTAAAATGAACAGCTTAAAAAAAGTAAGAAATTCAAAAACGAAGCTATAAAAAAATAAATAATATCAAAGATAAATTACTTTGAAATAAAATAGTCGACCTTTTCATATATAACATTAAAAGCTTTATGAAATATGAAAAAGCGAATTTAATTTTTAATGTTAGATTAGGAATTTGTAACCTAAAATTTATCAGGCATAGTGTAATAAATATTAAAATGTCAGCTCCTAATGGCTAATGACAAAAATTAAGTACTTTATTTTTATTGGAAATTTTCTTGTGTAGATTACGTGATTATAATTTGGTTTCGATAACTTATCCTTTTTCCTTATTATCAATAAGAATCGGCAAGTTAATATCGTCTTCAAAAAGTGTATAACACAACAGATAGAAGAAGAAATAGGTTGTGAACATTTAATTTTTAATAAATCTTTAGAAACAGTCTACTGTAATAGTTACATTTGGAGCTAAGCTTCCAAAACGGTAAAATTTTCCCCCAAATAGGCCCATTTTTTGTGCATATATAGAATAGAACAATAACTCAATAATCTAATTTAAGGGATTCTAGCTCTAAGACTTTAAAAGATAGAGACCCTGTGGATTGCCAGCACCCTGTAATAATTTAAATATATATAGACGCTGATTTATATTCCAAATTTCTTTAAGCTCAAAATATAACAGAATTTGTACAACACAAAAAAACATTTTTTTTACAAAAAAAATTATAATCGATCATGATTGAACAGCATTAACTACCTTCAACAATTCAATTGCGATTAAAATTCAAAGCGATTAAAACAAATTCCAACATTTATGTCCATTTTCTTGGCTTTTTATGTAAATGTATAGCATAACTCTAAAGGAAAAGTAGAATAAAATTACGTTGTTGAAAGATCAATGTCATCCGTCTGTACTATTACAAATTCCAAAAATAATTAAAATTTCAACAAAAATATACAAAACTAACAAAGTGATGCTCGTTCCAAAGCACCGACGAATATCATCATGTAGAACATCTGAATGATTAATGAAATATGACCTAAATTACGAACATCAAAATTATAGTGACGAAAATGAAGAAAAAATCGACATACATCCTTCTGACCAGCAACATCAATTGAAGAAAATGTTCATTTATCGACCATCCCACACACCAACGCATTACCTTAAAATTGAATAACAGACAAGCAAGGCAAACTGCAATGAAATAAAAATCTACCAATAAAAAAAGTTTTCTAAGAACTTTGGTTACATGCGCCAATCAACATTACTACTTTATATACTCCAACTTCACGTTTGAGTCGAACGATATGCCTTCTGCACTGCTAGTCTTTAACCTTATGGCTTTTGCATTTACGTGCACTCTATTCAGAAATTTGCCACCAATGTTATGGATGTAATGATCAAGTCTGCCGGTTGTGATTTCTGAGCAAGGAACAACGCGCTTAAGTGCGTAACTACAACGTCAATAGCAGTTCCGATTTGAAATATGAAGCAGCACTAAAGCTAAGCAACTCATATATCGCTCCTTGGAATTGCCACTTCTTGTTTCGACGAACAACGAACATTGGTGCAAAATTTAGACGATACTCGATGCTCGTACTTTTGTAACCCTTTTAGAAAATCTCGATAATCTTGAAGTTCTCACTTCATCACATTTCCTAATTTGTGAACCACTTATGGAGTCAGACGTTATTGTGCTCACCTAAAAGTGTCTCAATCGCTGATAACATATTACATCCCACAGCCTTCTATTAAACGATGTCGTAAACGATAAGTATGAAAATGATCCTCCTTTAAAACATCTGTTACCCCAAGTCGTGTAAAACATTACTAGAGCTAACGGTTCTGTGATAGTTCTGATTTTCGCACGTCTACTGGTGATACACGTTAAATTGCCAATAATCTGTGCGTCCTTGCCATTAATGCTCTTTTAAAAAAATTTGGTCCTTCAACGCGCAACATCTAATAATCACTCATTACTTCTCTTTTAATGTGTCGCGTTCATTTACTACTAGTACTCCTAGCAAACTAATGTAATACTCTACAGCGCTATTCATAACTTATATTTAGGTTTTGTATGTTTGTCCTAATTAAATTCAAACGGTCACGGCATTTAAAGCATTAAATCAGTAAACAATAACATAATTGTACTATTTAAATAAAAATCTTAAATTCAACCTTTGTAAATAATTTGTATTAGACTTACCGAAAAAGCTTATCAGCTTTCACCAATAATGTAGATATTTTCTTAACTACTTATACGAGCAATAAATATTTATATTTATAATTTAATGTTAAAAATGCCTCGGACTATGTGTTCATAAGTATATATTCCAAATTTCAAGCTTTAGCTTCAATAGTGGTCAAATGGGTTTCGATCAGGTGGACAGCTTTATAGACAGACAGCACGACTGACCTTGCACAAAACCAATATATTCTTTCACTTCGTTAATGCGTTTAAAAATTATATTTTTTACCACATAAAACGGAATAATAAATGCTTAAAATATATGTTACGAAGATTTGCTCAATAATTAATTTCAACTATACCCTTTACTCTATTCATAGCATATACACAGGAATTTAAATAGAAACATCGACCTTTCATGTAAAAAAATGTGGTAAACAAAATGTACAAGCACAAAATTTATAGAAACTAATATATATAATCTTCGTACGCCAAGAAACATTTATCAGATAAAAGTACACAAAAAGCAATGGAGCCACCTAGCCGGTTACAGCCGAAAAGAGAACAACAGTTGGTTCTTTGCAGTCCGTTTATCACAGTCGAAACGTTGCCAACGTCAGCAACAGAGCATCATATTCAAACACAAAAGCAAACGCAGGAACATGTTGTTCGAATATCACAATATACAAAAAGCTCACCACCATTGATTTCACGTCAAACGTTCATGCAACCCTCAACACAAAAAAATTTGGGTACATTAACAACAGTAAATCGAAGTACCACTAACAATACGAACGATGAAAGCAGTCCAGCATTGGCTTCAACTGCAGCAACCATTAAAGCCACTACACAGGCAGCTACTGGTTTCAGTGGCAGTTCGTTGGGGCATAACTATCGACAGCACCATCATCAGACGCACCACCAGCAGCCTGGTTTAAATAACCATCCCAGTCATGGTAGTGATACTGGATTCAGTGGCTTCTCTCAACTAGCCCATCAGCAAACCATTGAAAAGCTTTCTCGTCCAATGGCTTTCGATAAGGTAAGTACCTGACTATCTTCACTATAGAGAGAATTAAAAAGAAATCTAATAAGAACAAGTAAGAAAGCTGTAGTCGGGGTGCCCAACTAGAAGATACAGGGCTCGTCGTCTCTGAGCGTTGCCTCTACCAACACTACTACTGCTCTGCTTGTGCAAGAGGCTGCAAATCTGAACTTAAGTATCAGCTGATAATTCAATCATAAGTCTATCGCAATTTAGATTATTCGAATAAAAAAGAATGCACGCATTTGAATGAATGTGTGCACATATGTATGTATATAAGAAAAATGCATACGCTTGGCGTACGTGCTTTTGTGAACCACGTGCTTTTGTAAACTAGCCAAACGTTACTGTTATTTTACGATCTATGATCTACATATTATTGGAATTTAGTAAAAACGCAAACTATGTCATTAGCCTTTTTTCCAACTGACGGTATATATATACTTTTGCCTGTTACATACATTTGCACAAACCATAATACCCGGATTTCCCATTTTCAATGGGATAAGGGTATAAAAAGAAGCAAACCATATTAGAATGGGTTTCAAAGCACGCTTAAAAAAAATAAATAAATATTTATCGAAAAACAAATAAAAGTAATCTGAGTATGCTATACGTATGACTATACATATAAAATTTTGTCTCTAGCTTTTGTGGTTTACGATATGCCTATTGGGGGTGTGGTAAGTCAGCAAAAAATTTATCTTTAGTTTTAGAGCTAGAACACTATAATTTGTGAGTTTCTGATTAGATCATCTACAAATCGATGCAATATTTATATATATTATATTTTGATGCTAGAGGTCGAGCCGAGCTAATATTTCTTCTTTCGATAACTTATTCCATTTCCGTAATATCGATAATTTGATTTCGTTTTCCACAGTAAAGTCCTATTCTAGTCTGCACTGTTAATTGTAATGTATGTAGAAAAGAATCGTTGAATAATTTGAAGATTATAGCTTCATAAGGCTTATATATATATATAATATGGGATGACACTTTTATACCCTGAACGCATTTAAAATGGAAAAGCAGGGTATACATGCTAGTATGTTAAAATATATGTAACAAGCATAAGTATATATATAGACTTGATTAAGACTACTAGTCGAATCGATTTAGGCCTGTCCTTCTGTTCATCTGTCCGTAAGTGTGAACGCGTCGATGACAGCATCTATAAGTCGTGTATAGCACACGCATATCAAGTTGGTCTCAAATAATCGACATTTTTTATTGTTTTTTTTTTTATTTTTTATTAAAAAGTTACGGTGTTGGTTGAGTTGGTGTACGTTGCGCAAACAATTCGGGTCTCGTAATGTCGTATTTTTTTTCTTTTGAAATACTTGATTCAAACTACGGAAAGTATTAATAAACGCAGATAGAACTGGGATCAGGGTATCTCCTAGTCAGGCATCCCGATTCTAAAGATTTTCTATTCATCTTTATTTGACTTCTGTTACTGAATGTGTTTTTTTAATTTTATTTGGTCTTAATTTAATTGTGATGCTTCTTTACTGAGGCTTCTAATTATTTATGTGGAAATACTTTATTATGAAAATACTTTTTATACTTTAGCTTCCTAAGCGACTTTATATTTTTCTTCGGAACGCATCAACAAATAAGCAACCATATTCTTTGCTTCTCTATTTGATGATGATTATTTAATAATTTGATTTAATACCATAGTATAGATCACAGCTTTGAGAATAAGAACCAATCTTTATGTTCACCACAAAATATTTGCAGTTGAATCTTAGGTACCTCTGGAAGGTTATCCGTTTTCTCTTGGCTAACCTATTGAATTTTTTGCTGCCTATTCTTAAATTTTATTCTAACGTACAAGCCACTGTTATATTATTCCAATTCGACCTACATATCCAGAACCTCGCCCTTGTAAAACGGGTTGAGTTGGCTTGCCAGAAACAGCTTACTGGCGACGGGTCTATATCAATAATAGCTTGCCAATAATGGCTTGCTGGCGACGGCTTGCAAACAGCAGCAGACGATAACTTTGCCATACGCGGCTTGCTGTCACACATTAACAAATTGAAGTTTTATATAGCATATACCTTACTCTCTAAAATTGACATAAAAATTAGATATTTAGTGATAGCAAGCAATTTAACACAAACGAGAAAAAATTACATTGAAGTAAAATTCAAAGTAAAATAAGCTTTAAAAACACTTTAAATTATAATTGATATTATAATTTAAATTATTAATAAAAGCAAAATATATTGCAAATTTTTACTACACTTAAAACTACATTATTCGCATACATATATATCATATTTGATACAATGAATTTCACTTTCAAATTATATCTCACAGTTTTGGAAATTATTTAAGTATTGATATATTTTACCCTAAACCTTAAAAATATTTTTAGTAGTCCGAAAAACAAATCAATCCAACTTAATAAGACCAGTACTTATATTAGATCAAATTGGTCAACAATCAGTGTAATATCAAATTAATCATCAGCACATAAATTAACAATTGTGAAATTTGGCAACCGCAAAGGAAATTAAAGCCACAATCAAAAGAATTTTAGAAGAACGATTACCAGAGAAGAAAGATTACAGAGTTAATCCAACAAGATTAAATACTTAGGGAATTTAACCACAACAGCTGAATAATATGAACAATTTAGATAAAGTATCTGACATTGTCAAAAGCCTTCGCGAATTTTACGAAAGCCCAGCTGAGTTCAGGTCATGGAAGAAATGGTTCGGTGGGATTTTATCAGTATACGCGTATCAAGAAGGTAATCCAAAATATTTCGGAGTTTTATACGTAGAGTAATAAAATTATGGGAAGTGTTGCCATAGAATGTTACAGTACACCATTAAATTTGAGGGCAATATCCAAACGTTGGATCCCTCATCAAGCGCTATCTGATTACTCTCTAGTACCAGTATAGTATGATCATCTACAATAACCCCGGGTGCCCAACAATAGGCATTTTTCTCTAATATTAAATAAAATCGGGTACATGATTAAGATGTATAGTGGGTAAGTTGATTTTAATAAAGAATTTACATTGATCGCAGATGCCTTAGATGTTTTAATTTGAGCAGTACCTTCACAAAATAATAAACGAATCGCATTTATCTCAAGAAACGTATTAAAAACCGAAGTAATCTACGAAACAGCAAAAAGGGAAATCCAAGCAATTACTTGGACAGAAAAGGCAGTCCGTTGGTATTTGTATAATAAAAATCTATACAAATAATTAATCATTAACAGATCATTTTCATAGAAAGAGGGACGTAACATAGATGGAAATCATACCTCGACGAATACAATATGGAATTACTCTACAAGTTTCTAAGTAAAGATCTATACAGATGATGAATCATTAACCCAAGGTTGCAATTAGTCATATCTCGATGGAAACAATTAAGAATTACTCTACAATCAAAATGTAGTAGCTACTATAAAAAATACCAATAAAAAGCCAACAAAATCACCCTTCAACGCTTTTGAAAATATTCATTATAAAGAAAAACCAGCTGCCTACAAATTGGAAACCTCACGTTCCACAGAAATACCATGTCTCAACTGACTACAATGAAACACGGCTTCCGGAATATCCCGGACATATCCAAAATATTGAGATCTACTCAATCGAAAAAAATCTCATAATAATAGACAAATTGTCAAACTCCCCAAATGCGTAGTAATGGATAACAAAAAGCCACTTAACTCAAACATACAAATCTTTAAAACTCTTCCCAACAAAGGGTTTTTGAATGGACAGATCGAAAGGTACCATTCAACCCTCTCACATCATGAGATGTGTGAAAATATAGCAACAGTTAACAGAATTAATTAATAATGTTTGCGCTTATAGTTATTCAGTACACTCAGTAAAAGACAACAATTAACAGTCTTTTTCAAGAAAAAACAAAAGCAATAGATCTGGAAATGTATGAGATAAGTGGACAGGACAACAATGGAAAACTAAAACGAAAATAGCATAAGAAGGATTTTTCTCCCGCCGCATTTGTAGTTTATTATTTAATAAAATATAAAAAAAGCCAAGAAACGAAATAAAAATACAAAAATCGTCCCGGATCAAGGAAGATTGAAGAAATTCGTAAGTTTCAGTTAGTTCACAAGTCTGAATCCTACACACATATTTCCCTAAGCAACACACACAGACCAACCTCAAAAACAGTTATTGTATTTCAATCAAAATTAAATCGTTCGTTTATAAGAGACAATTTCGATCACTAAGTTTTATCGGTTCTACTTGGAAGCACACCTTAAGAAACAATAAAATCATTATTAATTCGCGCAGAAATTATAATCAAACCATAGTTACCAATACGATTAGTAAATATATATAAGTAGACTTAGTCATGCAATAGCTATCACTTTTCAAGCAGCATGAGGATAGCAATTTGCTGTTCTTGCTGGCGACAACTTTGCCAACAACGTCTGGCAGCAATCTGGTCACAATCATCAAATTGACGCAGAATTTTTCTTAGTTACTAGCTCTCTAGAAAATTAACTACAGTCAGTTGGATGCGTAAGACGAGTGAAAGGAACAAAAACCTGAGTCCAAGTCCTATAGCGCATTATGCCTTGGGCGATTCTGCATCCTCAATTCTTTCTCGCTGCCCTCGGATGGTATCGAGGTTTTGATGATTCATCCTGTGCAGGAGTGGCAAGCTTAGGATCAGCTCACGGCTGATGATGTTAAGCCGCAACTCCGTTAATCATAGCCTTACGCTCGAAGGTAATTAAGTGAGAGCCGTTAACTGATACTTCCGCCCCCCTCATCTGTTTTGACTTTTGCACTTTTTGACTCTTTGCTCTCATTTAACACTACGATGACGATACCGTCATCTATGACTGAGACTGGGTACAAGTGGCTCGGCTGAGAAAGACAGTGATCCGTTCCTCCAAAGTGTAGACAATTATGTAGACAGACTTAATCTTTGGATAATTAATTATTATATAAACAATACTATGTGATTGAAGGAACT